CATTTTAGTGTGTGCAATATATGTAGTATGAAATCATTACCAATCCACAGTTAACCTTTTATTCTCTCTCCCTCTCCCTCTCCCTCTCTCTCTCTCTCTCTCACACATGCACACACACACGCACACACACTTGAACTCATAATTATGCTAGCAGAAAATAATAAAAAGTGCATTTTTCTACTTCCACCATTTCTAGCACTCTAGAAATCCTGTTTTGAACTTTGAATGTCCAATACTTAGGTAATATTTGCACTAACTATTGCACAACTCATTAGAGCTTCATAGGACTGCAGTTGCTTGGGCTAGTTTGCAGGTTTTCCATTAGCTTCCTTGAACTAGTAGAAGGATACATTAGATATAACCCACACTTGCAAAATTCATTAAACATTATTTGGAAGAAACAAAGAACCCCACTGTGAAAAAAATACATTTGTTTTAGGTTACCAAAATTATCATCTCTTACATGTTCACTCAAGCTGCAATTTATTTGAGAATGTCTTACTAAATAGGGGGTTAGTGTAAGAATTAAGAGTTCACTACAAGATGATTTTTAGCTATCACGTTCCTCAGCAGGGAATACTTTCTAACTAACATTTCTTTTCTACTCATAGAAAGTGCCATGAAAGCGGTATCTGGTAGATTCACATCTCCACCTGCACCAAAAGAAGAATGTGCACTAGAAATCATTAAAGGGGGTGCCCTGCGTCAGCGGGAGGTTTATTATAGATATATGGATACAAAGATCTTTACAGTTTTGCGAGACTGGGCTCCAGAGTTCATTGATTATTTGATTCGGAAAAATTATAACATGGACAATCTAAAACAAGATTAACTCCAGTCCGTCCATTTGCTGCTTCTGCATTTTTCTTTTCTGTTCATGTAAGTCAATGTTTTCAAACGTGGCAGCTTTAAGATGTGTGGGAGTTGAAACCCACACATCTTAAATTTGCCAAATTTGAAAAACACTAATGTAAGTGATGCCTCAGACAGCATTCTTTCCTCTCTCTTAAATCATGTTAATTGATAGCATCCTACCACCCCAAGATTCACTATACTGTTATATACAGTCGCAAACGTCTGTATCTTGGGGTTTCAGATTGTCGGTTAATATATTATCAACATTCTGGAACAGGACAAACTGGGTAAAAGGGTATATGCTGTACTAGAAAAACTCAGGTTAATGATAAACGTTATGTATGCTCTTAAACTGCATCCAGATAGTTGTTTCTCCTACCCACCATTCAATTATTTAGATCAAAACAAGACATAAAGAGGAAATTAGAGAGAAAAATGTTGTAACACAATGCTGAGTTTTATAATTTTGAATCTATTCCTTATATAGATTTCTCTCATCTGTGACATAGAGAGGAAGTCCACCAAGTAAGTGCAAGACAGCCTCTGGCTTAACCTGATCAAAGGCACTTGATACTTAAACAAATATGGAATTACAGATTTGGCATAAAGTACGCTTTAAAAATTTTCAAAGTTCTAAAATTATTATTTTAAAAAGTTAGTTTAGGAAACATTTTTATAGTAATTTTATAAAAGATTATAATTACAGTAGTAAAAACTAATACAAACTACAAAAGATAAAAATAGAAAAAAAGAGTAGAAGATGGAGAAAAGAAAAAAAAGAAAAAAAGAAATAGAAATAGAAAAGAAAGTAAAGTAAGAATAGAGTAAAGGAAAAGAAAAGAAATATATAAAGAAGTGACTTCCCACCTTCACCACCACAAGTATAAACAATTTTAGTAACTCATCACCTCTTAAAGTACAACAAATGATCCCTTCTTCCCATATTCCATCTCTTATCTATAAAAAATATCGCCATTTCAGTCCTGTTGTCAACAAAAATCCATTAAGGGTTACCAGAAATAACAACATATCTATGTTAACCTTGATCAAATAAGCAATTTTTATATTTTTCTTCCTTTTACTTCTAACAATATTAATCTTTAGTCCATTCAAATAATGTCATAGAACTTGATTTCTTTTCATTTTTTTCTTTGCCCCTTCTCAAAAGATTTTTCAAAACTTTAACAAGGTTCTTTTGTAAATTCAGTGTAGGAAAATTACCCAGGTCACTCTCTTGGTTTATTGTTTGTGTATCCCTTTTAATTATTAAAACGTCAGCCTTTTCGTATGTCCAGTGTTAACATCTTTTTCCATGTTGTTCTTGTAGACTGTCATTTGTATATCCGCTTTCAATTCATTCTCAGTCTTGTCAGGTAAAACTTGTTCCTCTTCCATAACATCTTTTAGACACAATCTCTCCATAGAGGCAGATGTCTCAGTTGACACTATTAATATTAACTTCTGAGTCATTTTTTTCAAAAATATCCTTCAATATGTTCAATGTTAGAATATTTTGCTCCATTCTGTGATTGTAAGTCAAATTTATGTGTTCTTCTCCTTTAATTGTAATATTTAGTTCCCGCTAGTGTCCATTTTTTCAAAAAATCTTATCTTATTATGCTTTTTAAAAAATTCAAAAAAGCATATCCCTATGGGATGGATTCTTTATAATTAATTCCAAAATCTTATTTCAAATTTATCTGGACCCTTAGTCCATTTGTAACTTTCTAAAATCAAAGTTTTAATCACTCTTTTGCTGTTTATTAAAACAAACAAACAAACAAAAAATAACCCCTTAAACTTATAGTTAAAACTTTCTTTTGCTAAAGATTGAAGGGAAACTCACCCAGTGCTGTCAAACTTGTTGATACAAAGTTTCTAATAGCTGAAAAGCAGTTAACAAGCAATTTCCATAAGTGATTAATAAAGGAAGTAAGCGAACCCAGTGTCCTTGTAAAGGCACCGACTGCGGTTTGAGCAAGATGGCTATTCCCTCATCTCCCAGAGCTCTAAACCTGCAGGAGACTGCTATCTTCCAGTCTCCTTGTGAGAAGCAGCTGTCTGGGGCACTTGTGGGCAATCTCAAGTCCTCTCTTGTCTGGAATGGTTTGAATAGCTGGTCTACTTGCCGGCTTTTCGTTCTTCGCACCGGCGTCAGCTTCACTTTCCGCAAAATCATCTTCAGTCCACCATTTCTTCCTCCAAAAGTCCCAGGAAACATTTCTATTAAGTAATAGATAAGAGTAGGACCAGGGTCACCCTGGGTCAAGTCTACCTCAGCCATGAAAAACTCACTGGGTGATCTTGAAGTAGTCACTATCTCTCAACCCAACCCATTCCACAGGATAGTTTTTGTGGGAGAAATTTTGTATGGGGGAGAGGGGGTTGGAATGACAAAGACAGTGCTGTCCCAATGCAGTGCGTGCATGTGCAAAAGGGGTGGAGGCTATGGTCGAGGCTGCTTTTTCCATTTCGGAGACATCTTTGCTCACAATTGAAAATATTGTTAAAAACTGAATAAGGTTTGTGTAAAATGATATTCTGAATTTTTTTTTTAAAAAAAGAAAAACTAAGAATTTTCCTCCAAATGTATTTAAGCTGTATATTATGCAATGGACATAACAAGATCCAGAATTAAAACTTATATATAAAAATACATTCTCAAATTATTTCTTCTAATGCCTTTACATTTAAAGGTTTATGTAAAAGTGATAGCTTTGTATTAACAGTTCTTTTTTAAAAGTATTTTGTGCATCCGATATTTACCACTGCTGGTGATAAAATTCACAACTAAAATACATATCTGAACTACATCAGTGAGTTGACATTGAAGTATAATGTAACTTTTGAAACTTAAATCTGTTCTGAATAAAAGAAAAGATTAATAAATAAATACTTTGCAGTTCACTTTTCAAGGGAACCTAATTGTAAATATGAAAAAATATCCACATCTCATGGTTCATCATCACACAACCATTTGCATTTGAGCTGTCCATTATATTTGCTTTCATTTTGATTTCCTCACATTTTAATTTTTTTAAATTTGTTTTGTTTCTAACCATTGTCAAATGCAAAAGTTCATGCATCTTGATTCCACACTTTTCAATCTTTTAATGAAACTAAATGATTATTAGAAAACGAATATTTCAGAGAATTCTTGTTCCACCATGGAACAATTGTTCCATGGAACAATTCTGGTGAATTCTCAGTTCTCCTTCCAAATGACCAACTTTTCATGCAAAGTTCTATTACATATAAATTAGATTACATCCCTAGTTAATCACCCAGGTTAGCAGAGTTATGGGAAATTACAGTTCTATTGTATCTGGATGGCATTAGATTAGATTGGAGAAGGATTGTCTACAGTGTTTTTTAAAGGGCAGGAAGTCCACCCCTCAAATTAGAAGGCACAGCCTTGACATCCTTCAAGCTATTCAGTCTAAGTTTATTAGAGTGAATCTTGCAGTCCCAAGATGCAAAAAAAAAAAAAAAAAAATTCTACATTTCATTTAGAGTTCAGTTTAGTTTAGTCTCCATTGATGCTAGAGCTCCATTTCATCTTATTTAACTTTGGTTAAAATTCTCTTTTTCCCCAGTAGGTCTGGCCACACTGGTTCTCAGAGATCATTTTAAGTCAATCTAGTTAAAAAAGATTATCAGCAAGATTAAATCCTAAAGACTTCCTTTGAAGAGCCTGTGTCCATTAGGTTTCAATAATGCTAGAAGTATCCATAAACAGTATATTTGGAACATTGATTTTCAATGTGGGGTCTTTTCAAATGGTTATGGGCCAGCCTTCTACCCCTCACCTATCACAATCCTGAAATGCCACTGGGCCTTCACTTTGGCTAGACTGGACATATTATCTTCTGTTGTCCTGTTTTGTTGTTCTGTTTAGCACCTGTTCTGTTGGGCTGCTAAAAAAATGTTTCCCTTCAACAGCATATATGTCCTTGTTGGGACAGCTCAGTGGAATCTTTGAGCCTGGTCTCTCTACATGAAATCCTGGGCTAATAATATTAATTCTATCCTGAAGAAATTTCCTGATAGAGAACATGATTTCTATTTGTCAATTCTCCTGTCTGACCAGGATTTGGATATATCTTTCTAATTGCAGAATTAGATCTATAAGCTACCTCTTGGTCTAGTCACAATAAACAGAAATTCAATTTGGGGATAAGTTGGGAAGATCCTTTGAGGACATAATATTGTTATATAGAGAAATAGTTAATATTTTCAGAATTTTAGAATACAAACCATTCAGAGTTTTCAGTATTGATTTTTTTTCCCTCTTCCCTTGCTTGTTTGTTTGTCAAACCTGTCTCCTTTATTGTCATTTTTAACTTGAACATGTGGTATCCATTTCATCAGAAAACTATAATATTTTTGACAGTTTCCATTAATCTCATCCCTGTGTCGTGTATGTTTCTCCAAAAGAACAGCGACAAGTAACACAGTGGTATCTACTGAATAAACGTTGCTTTGCATAATGAACATTGTCTTGACTTGCATGTTTACAATCAAAACAATGTGGCTTTGGAAAACATTCGGCTGAAATTTCTAGGGTAGTAATGAATTTGTTTTTGAGCATTTAAGGACTAACTGTAGAATAATATGACAAGGACTGTAAAATAACATATAATTTTGGACACTATGTAAAATAATATTCACAAAAACAGATACTTTGTCCTATTTTTCTTTCACTGTATTAATGCCCACTTATGGGCTGTCTTAGGTAATTGTTATGCCATTTTGAAGCCAGACAAAGCATATTTTGCTTTCCTATCCCTTTTATTAAATGTTGAGGTTGCTTGACTCCACGGTGTCTCTGGCTGGCTTGCAATTAATAAAAATTGAAACAACATATATCAAAGAAAAAGAATTGGCAATGAAGATATCAAAGTGATGGATAGATTCTGCCTTTTAGGATCAGCCATCAATAGCAAAGGAGTGTCAGAAGGGTTAAAACACCTTCTTTACCTGTGGCCCTTGCCAAGCTGGGAGTCCAATAAAACATACCAGATGATCAGTGGAGATCATATTTTCATGTGTAACACATGAATATACTTCATACATGTTCCATTAGATGGGATATATTTAATGCAATCTTTTCCAATCTAGGGGTTGCCAGATGTCCTGGATCCATTACACCCAAAATCCACAGCTAAGTTGTTGTTTTTTAGATTTTTTTTATCCCACCTTTATTATTTTTAAAAATAACTCAAGGTGGCAAACATACCTAATATTTCTTCCTCCTCCTATTTTTCCCCACAACAACAACCCTGTGAGATGAGTTGGGCTGAGAGAAAGTGACTGGCCCAAAGTCACCCAGCCGGCTTTCATGCCTAAGGCGGGACTAGAACTCAGTCTCCTGCTTTCTAGCCTGGTGCCTTAACCATTAGACCAAACTGGCTCTACTACAGTACTACAGTATACATATTTGACTACACTGGACTATAGTACACATATCGCAGCTTTTCTATCACAGCCTATTAGGACATTATTATTTTATTATCCTATTAGGACAGATTGATGTTGCTTTCCATCAACTTAGGGTATTCTCATTCACAAAGGTATTAGGCTGCTATGGTTCCACGATGCCAGCCACAGCCTCTTGCTAGCAAGAACAAGCTCAAGGTGCCAGGCTAATAACTGCAGTAAAGAATTGTTGCTGGAATCCCAGTGGCAGGACTATGAGATGTGGGCAGCAAAAATATGGATGGCCAGAAGATGGCAGTGAAAGGTTATTTTCATGGTTGTCTAGATTTTGGCAGCTCAGATGCGGTAGTCCTATCCAATGTTGAAAGAAATATAGGTCCGTTTACTAAAAGAAAGTCAAACGACCATACCACAAAACTGCCTATCGAAAGCTAGACTTCCTTATCTTATTGGGGCAAGACAAAATTAGAGAGAGAGAAAAAAGAGACAGAGACAGAGAGGAACCAAGCGGATGAAATACCCATACTGAGCTCAGAGCATTTCCTGTCCTTTGAAAAAGGAATAGTGAAGTCTTGTCAGTTACAGCATGTTAACACTGGATAACTAAGCTAATGCTTCAGATCTTGATGAACTCAGATCAGGCCTACCACCGAGAAGCAAAGGTAAGGACCACCCTTGTTGGTAACATTCCTTGTTTTAATTCTAAAGGAAGAGAGAGCAAGCACATTTGATCTAAAACAGAGTGGCAGTCCATTGCAACAATGCCTGGGAGGAAAAGATAAAGGACATTTGTGCTCATTAGAGAAAAACATTTTGGTGTAGAAAGGAAGGAACCCCATAATCTGATAATTAAACCTCAAAAGTTTGCCCAGGTCAGTGGGTTAAGTAACCGGAGTAATATATCTCCTCTTCATTGTTCAGAACAACTTAAATGAAGGGCTTTTCAATTAACTGCACAATAAGGACACTGAAAGCCATGGCATCTGAACAAGGTAAACTGTTACTGGGTGCTCTGTGGGAATAATGCCTGTTGATTCACTTCTGGGGGTACCAGTCATTCAAATGTCAGATAGACAGATGAAAATGCAGAATACTTCAAAACTCATATTTAAATATGCCTCAACTGTAGACTCTGACACAGATTAATTTTGAGCAGACAAATCATATTTCTGTGTATTGTCGAAGGCTTTCACGGCCGGCATACGATGGCTGGTGTGGGTCTTCTGGGCTGTGTGGCCATGTTCTTTAAGGT